GCGCTACTCAAGTTATAAACGAAGGAATGAAATACTTAATGAAACAAGCTGGTACGAACCACGCCGTCATCACGTGTCTTCACATCACAAAGTTACCTCAACTCGATCCGACCCACATTCTAATGTTTGTCATCGGGTTTCCTCAGTTTGAATTATACTGAAATATTAGTCATCAAGTTCCTTCAAATCGAACAAATTAACCCATACTTTAATACTTAACAAATGTTGCCCTTCGCGGTGACTATTTGAACTATTAGCAGATACGATTCCACATTGAGACATGACTGTGAAACAACAAATGGTCACATCATCATTTCCTTGTCTCCTAGTAGAGAATAGGGCCAGCATCTCTCCTCCTCTATGCTTCTCTGACTTGAGCCGCTACTTCTGCATCTGCCCAAGTCTTATATTCCAATTGTTTTCTTTCCTTTTCCACAGTTCTTCTTCAATTCTCTTTTGGTCTTCCCACATTTCGTTTGCCCTCTGGTGCCGATTCTTGGTATGCCATTTCTTTCCATGCGTAACACATGTCCAATCCACTTCCACCCCCTGTTTTTTTACAATTTCACTTATTGTTTGAATGTTTTCACGTTGTCTGATTTCCTCATTTGTGATCCTCATCAGATGGTCACAAGATAAAGCAAATTTTAAACAACTTTTTTTTTTTTGCTTTTCCATGGATATACTAAACTTGCCCATTCTCGGATAGGCTTTCTTTTAAACTTACTAGTACTTCAAAGTGACGTCACAATTGTGACACTGCTTGATACATTATTCAAGGCGCCCTCTTACGGCCATAGTACGGGTAGTCTAGTTTACTATGAAATACTAGTAGATCACTCATAAAGTATGAAGGAAGGGAAAGAAGAACAACGCACTATAAAAATTGTGTTTAATTTCTTACGTAATTTGCTGTTTTATAGCATGCATGGTAATGTGCCGGCACAACTCTTGTAGCGTGTGTGGTATACGGTTACCATAGACATTAAAGAGCGGTGGTTGTCGCGCCACGCATGCGCGATATATGGCTCTCATAGTAAACAAAGATGGCGACTTCGACTGTTGCGCAGCCAATGAGTACAAACTGAGACGTTACCTAGCTTAAATTAGGTATTTTTGAGTTGATTGGAAGGTATCGAAGAAGTCATCGGCTGCAATTAGTGCAAGTCGCGCCCAGGTCAAAACTCGTACTTGTGATTTCATGAGAAGATCGCATTGTATTGTGGGAAAGGGGGGGGAGTGGCAATGGTTACAGATAATACTAGTAGTAAAAGTATACATTATTAATACACTAATAAGGAAAGAATAAAAATATACAAAAACAGAATATTAATAGAAAAAAACAATAAAACAACTCCTAAAAGAAAGATGCATATCAATCCCGAATTTGTTGTCTAATACGAGTAGTCTGACTGAATTCAATCGCAGAATTCCAGTGTCTGAGTGATATATAACAGGTAGATTTTTTCGTGAAAACACGGGAACCCTCTCTACTTGTCTGTATTGTATTTTACGTGAGAACAAGTTCTCCTGTCTTAGTTAGTAGTAATATAACCAAGTATAGTCCTTTGAGGAAATGTAAACCAATATGATTCGTGACATATTGTACTTTCATTGGTTGGTGTACGTTACTGTCACAATTCAAACTCGTAGGGTGCACAGCAAGTAAATAATACCGAATAAATTAATGCTTACACGACACAGTACAGAATTCACCCTGTCGTATGTTTCGGTGTTACTCACTTGTTGGAATAACTTGATCTCGATTCATAAGTTATTAACATTATAAGAATTATTAACCAAATATAAAATGTTCATTTCTCAAGAAAAGGAAGCAAGCTGTAATCTATTCCAATCATTCTGTAGTGTTGTTGTTGATTTTCCACGGGCTTGCTTTGACTGTTCATGCCGATAAATATTTGGATTTATTTATTTATTTATTTATTTATTTATTTATTTATTTATTTATTTATTTATTTATTTATTTATTTATTTATTTATTTATTTATTTATTTAAGAACAACTAGCTTTCCCCCGATTGCAGTTCCGTTAAAAGAAAAACTAAACACAAAAAATTAAACCGAAAATCTAACGAACAAATGCAGACATTTGTGATAGATGTAATGTGGTGTAGGAGCGATTAAAATTGCTACTAAAATATCAAAAGACTGGGTGACTAAAATTGTATTTAAAAACGTCGCTGGTCTCTGTAAACAAACCACGAAGTGAATGTTATCATCTCAGCGACAAAAATACATGCCCGCTGTCACGCAATTCGTATTTAGAGTGTATTGACCTCAACGAAACTCGCCCGAACACTTCCGAGACCTCGAATCGTCTTTACCCAGAAACCATTGCGCATACATTCAAAATGGCGGCTTTCCTCGTAGGGTTATGCTCGTTCACTCCATAATTTCGTCGAAAACGGTGAGTAAGGGTAAGTTATGTTGCAAATTATCATAAAATGTTGTTGCTGCAATTCTTGAGGAAGTAACTGTCACTTGTATTTTAAGGATTGGTGTATACCCGAAAAAAACAGTACAAGAGTGGGACGGGTAGTCCTGTTGACGTTAGTTTTGATTCAACTTTTCGTACCGTGCTAGTTCAGACCAGTGCCGATTTTATTGGTGACCAGACCTGTCTTAGATTCTAAATGAGTGTTGATTTATGATTTTATGATAGTGCCTTTATTAGTGCCTAATTGTATGTCGGATAGTGTAGTTTGCAGTCCCATCTCGATCATCGTGGCATATATTCATACATGTCTGTACACCCGAGATCAGGCTACACTACACAAGTAACACCAACTGTTTTAAAAATGCCTACAATAACATTTATTCTTTCGTCGGAAATTAACAAAACGAATTGTACAATCTGTTTTATTTCTCTTTACTTACACAGTTCTCCACCAACTATTGTATTGTCGACAATTGCCGTTTTGATAAATCTTTGAGAACAACTATCAGAAGTAACTATTTTATTGTTACAATGTTATAGATTTATACTTGATCTTTTCCATGATGTTGGCAATGACTTTTTCAATTCGTCCTGAGATGATACTGTTAGATTTGTCAGTCTTTTTAGTCTGTTGTGCAACATATGACTAAACATGTACACGTATGTGCAAATTTTCTTGGTCCTGTTTGACTGTGAATGTTCAAATTTGAACTATTTTCAGTGTGCCCAATCATCATCACTTTCATGTACAACTTACAAGTGAGTGGCAATTGAGTCAATGTTTCAAACCACAGATGCTGGCTATATAAAACATTACAATGAAAACTATAAATTCACGGTCTTTATTAAATAATTCGCCCATCCTGTTGAATTTCACACACTATTTATTAAATAATTTATTTGGGATGTTGCAAACCAAGTTTTCAATTCAATTGTCTTTCAACTTTTTATTCATATTATGACATGGAAATCATTTATATCAAGAGAAATAAAAAACAAATGTGTTGACAAACTTGACATACATTAATGTATAATGTTTTTACACAATGTGAAATTCAGTCTTTTTACTAATGACATATGCATAACTATGTGCATGTGGCAAGAAAAATAATGCTTCAAAACAATTCATACAGATAATAATATTTTCACGGTAAATGTAGATAAAAAACATCTAATGACTACTTTAGTGAAGGGTCAATCAAGGGTCAAAGAGTTCATAAATGGCCTGATGCATGAATTCACATCTTTAATTGGTTAACTGTTTGATCCTCAAGTTATAATTTCTTGTGTGCAGTAGGCTGTGCAGTTTTTGTTTGCCAGAAGCTCTCAGTTGCTTTATATCATTTTGAAGTTGAGATTCTGTCTACATGTAACAGTGAACATATATAATTTTTTTTTTTTCAAGACACAATCGTACATGTAGCAATGATGTCCCCATGCTGGGTGATTGTAAACATGAATCACTTCTAATAAAGAGTGAAACCCCCCAAAATGAGTCATAGTAAACATCAAGAATATTAAATTCACTTCACACAGAAACTTTTCTGTCATCACTAGTCAGTAAATGGAAACATTAATTTGAATACTTAATTTCGTTTACAGTAATCTCACAATGAAGTATTGCACGATTTGGGGGTAATCTGTACAGCACGACAGCTTTTATGCTGGTTATAACTGTACAAATTTATCATTTGTTGTCATGGAACAATTTAATTTTGCGTTACATGCTTCCTTGTTTGGTATTTTCAACTATGTATACTCTCAACAGTGTTTGAATTGTGGACTTGATGATGAAAGTCTTACATGTTTTCCCAGGTGAGATTTTAGATTACTGTAAAATCTGTATTAGAAGCCGCAGCTTCTATTAAAATAGTTTAATGCAACAGAGGGTATGCGGCTTCTATTAGAGCATCTACACATATGAGAGATGATAAATTTTTAATTCTCAATTATTCAAAAAGAATGGGTGCAACTTCTATTAGAGATGTGGCTTCTAATACAGATTTTACAGTATTAACTGATGTACTTCTGTGCAGTAGAGAAATTGGTCTCTTGCTATATAGATAAAAATGAGAACTATATTGCTATCTTAAATTCATGTTGCGTGTTTAATTGGATAATTGCTTGACCTCTAAGTCATAATATGCAGTAAGATGTACAGTTTTTGCTCACCAGAAGCTTTCAGTTGCATAATTTTGAACTTTGTATATTGCATCTAACTGAACTTTTATTATATTTAATAAAAAAAATTTAAACTTCATTGTAATCTTCAATTCATAGTATGCATGGAATTCTATCTGCATACATGTACACCTCTCAGTTTCTACAACTTGTGTGGTGTTGTTTATATCCTGGTGGAATGGGTCAAGGCCACCAGTTGTTTCTAGAGGCTTGTCATCACAATGGGTAATATGAATCAGGGTACTGGACCATCACTGATGTTTTTAAGGTCATGTCCTGCCATATACTATTGTTGTATTACTGGTGTCTCTCTTGTTCATATGGTAATTACGTTAATCCAGCTTTGCTCAAGTTTATGGTGCAACTTGGTATATAAGACAGAGGCATTATTTTTAGAGATTAATACATGGCCAGGAGTTGTATGTACTTTGTTCTCTAAAGAAAAAAGTACATCCTGTAAATTACATGCATGTCCGGTTATTTAAAAAATGCGAATCTCATAAATAATTACAACAAGCGTAAATATGGTGGTAATTTTTAACCATACTATATTTCTTTCTTTTTTGTACTTGTTCAATCAAGCAATAATTGTTGACATTTTTGGGCAATATAATAATATACATATTCATTTGTTGAAACCTGGCAGCATATTTTGAGTATACAACTGTACTGGTCAATATAACAACCTAAACTGCCCGAAAATTCAACACATACTGTAAAATTCTGCTTCGAATTTATTTTTGCTATTTTTGCTGAAGGGATGATTCAGTGAAAATAAAATTCAACAAATTTACTTTTTTTTTTCTATATTTCACATTTTACTCATCAAAAATCAGTGAAAAATAAATTCCATACAAAACTCCCAAAAAGCCTTTTCAGCGAAAATTAATTCCAGGTAAAATAAAGTATTGCAATTCAAAACTTTGAAATCAGATATATACAAAATACAGTTGACTGTGGTACTGAAATTCAGTTTAAGACTCCAATAAACACATACATGTAGTCACATATTTAAGTCCTGTTAGGCTGACGTAATATGTTCATCCTTTTTTTTTACTGTAAACAAAAATAAGCAGCCCAACCAGCAGTATTTCAATGTAGCATACTGTTTTGCCAACAGCTTGCAATATTGCTGCTTTCTTAGTAAAAAACAGTTAGCTGTATCACAATACTGCTGTTTGTGTTGCCTTTTCGTTCACAGTAAGTCAGCGTAATTATTATGCAATATTTACACTAGTGATGATACTTCCTTTCCTAGAAGCATGTATTTAAAGGTAGTTGTCACGCCACGCATGCACAAGATATATGGGTCTTGTATAAACAAAGATGGCGACTTTGACTGTTGGGCTGATCAACAAGTACAAACTCAGTGGATACCAAGCTTTTTTTAGTTTTTTTTTTAGGCGATTGGAAGGTATCTAAGGAGTCTCCAGTGGTAATTAGTGCAATTCGAGCCCAAGTCAAACTCGTATTTCCATTAGAAGAACGCATTGAATTGTGGGATAATCAATAATCATCAACACAACTGTTGCACATGCACAGCACGAAGACTACACCCTTCAAAGCAAAGAACAGATGAGAACACAATATAATTTATGTAGATGTTTTCACAAACTTATTTATTATAATAATAATCTTTAGTGAATTCATAGTCCAGTGTGGGGTCTTGGTAGAGAGAACAGGAAAAAAAAAGATAAAAAAAAATAGTTTTATTAGTTTGACCTTAATTTCATAGTCATATAGAAACTCAACATCTTATGTTTGAACATTTAGATCATTGTATATTCATGATGTACATTTACCAAGTCATAATTTAAATAATAGTCAAAACTGATACTGGTCAATAAGATGTATTTGGTGTTTGGACAGACGAACCACACCACATGATAGTCGATAACATAAACAGAAATATAATTTTGTAACATAATTTAAATTTATTTTATTTTAAACAGTAAAATGTAATAAAGATGTTAATACAATGTTATGTAAAAATAGGCATCACAAAATATATTTTTGTTGTTACTGGTTTGTTTTAATGAGTAATATTGTGACAGATAAGTGTGTTCAGTTTTAGGTGATGTAATAACTTAAAAATACTAAAATAGCTTCACTTCATGTCTTGCTTTCACTGAGTTGATTACTGTGTGTTGTCTGGACATTCCAAACACTACATTATTTTAAACCTGAAAACTGATATATAAGTACCGTACATGTATTGTGTAGCACCATAATCTGTAAAATTAGTTGGACCTCCTAATTTTGCTGAAACAATAATTATTTTTTCCAGCAATTCAACCGCTACATTCAGTGTTTCTGATTGTTTTGTTTCCTCGTTTTCCTGCTTTTTTATGTTGGCTGGTTGAATTCTTCTAAAAGTAAATTACCACTGATTAAAATCCACTCAATGAACCACTAAAAAATGTAATAATTTAAAATGTCAAAAATAATTAATCATGTATGTATTCAATCCTTTTCATAACTGCTGGCACTTGAGGTGATGGTCATTCTTCCATGGAAGGATTATGGTATGCATTCTACAAACTACTTTGTTGTTGTAGGAATTCATTATTTCAATGTTTGAATATTTTCTTTCAGGAAGCTGTACATTAAATGTGAAACTATGAGTCATAAAGGACCACCAAGTACATCGCCCTCTAGTGGTGGCAATGAGAGGCTATGCGATAAACTGAATGCTCTTAGTACTAAAGCTGCAAATGATCCAAATTTTGCACCAAAGCAACAATCCTCAGGTAAATGACATGTTCATATATTGCCGATATAATCTGCTAATTCAAATTCACCTCAGTACAGTGTTCTCCCCAGAAAAATGTCTCAAAGTGGCGGCTAATTTGCATATAATTTACATAATCATTAGCATATGTCTGGAGATAAAGAAAACAATAAAGACAGGCTTGCATGGATGAAATTGTGTCTTTATTTTTTAACAAATTTATGAACAAGATTAAATAAATCTGCTCCTGTGTGCTTTCTATGTAATGTTGATTTTTCTGACTTTCATGGAAGCCCAGTGGTCTGCAGCTTTTGAGAACACTGTGATTTTCTTTGCTTTCCACTTCTAATGACATGGCCTTCTTGTGCATCTCTGAGTGTGTATGTTTATCGATAGCATATTTCGTAATATTTATACATGGCATAGAATTCCATGCCAAAGAACTATTTATGGGTGATTTTAAGTTTAATTTTCCACATATGTGACACAGCATTAATAAAATATAAGAAATAGAGGCGAATCAATACTTGTTTTTAAAAAATATCGTCACGATCAACATCAAAATAAACAAATTGTCGCCATTTTAAAAAGACACTAAACTTTATTAAAATCTAAAAAATTCCCACGATAAAATTTACCCGACTATTTCAAAACAGAATACTAGAATTTTGATAAATCGTAGACAACAATTTTTGAACTTCCAAAAAATGTTTCGACGATCGGCAAAAAATGTAGCCATACAAAAGTTTACTAAACTAGGTCAAATTATGCTTCCAAGTAAAATGCTGTTTCTCTTAGCCACGTACATTTTGTTGTCCTTTGTGCTTCAAATCAAGACTTTCTTTTCTTTGCACCTTTCGTCATCTTAGACTCGTGTAGTACCACGGCCGACAGGGGTACCGGTGACCGCGTTGCTGGTGGGTTTATCGCTCAGAACCAGAGGCCCAGCAGGGCGTTCTACGCGGAACCACAGCGTAATATTTCTGCTGCTTGACATTGTTGCTGCTTCAAGCCGAATATGAAAAAATGCTCGCGATTACCCTCATTAAATAGGCCGAAAGTGTTTATTGTCGAAGTACGAAGCTGTATTAGTCCATTGTCTTTGCGTAATCACTGACATGTTTCCATTCACACCTGATTTGGCTAACAGTACTGGACGCTGATGACGCTGACTAACAGATTCGCATGTGTATTTACAAGCTAAAACGAAGAGTAACAGGAAATGCCACAGAGTAGCGGGCAATCTCTCAGAGTAGCGGGC